CCCGCACACCGCGGGCACCCCTGCCCTGCGGGATCGGGACAGGGGCTGCTGCTGGCTCGGCTCCTTTCCGTGACGGACCGACGCACCAGGTTGGTTGAACTCAGTACCTTAAAGGTCTTTCACAACCTAAACGATTTTATGGTTGGTTCTATGATCTCCGGCTCGGCGATGGACACCTTACATATAGGAATGGAAGCCTTTGGCCAGCCTAAGCGGGGTATTTAATTTCCCATAAAAACTAGAGCTCTCTAGGAGCAAACAGAAATGCGTTTCCTTTAGAGGGCTGTTTTTCGAGCTAGCACAGAGGTTTTCTATTTTCTTGAAATAACCTAGCTTGATAAATCATCTTGAAAAGGAAAAAAAAAAAAGTTTTCTTGATCGCTTAGCTCTGCATTACACCACCTGGGAGGAAGAACTGCCCAAGTCCTTCCAAACCTCCTCCTCTCTCACTTTCCAGCAGTGAAACAACACGACCCATTGGCCATTAGCGCATCCTTCCTCCCCGCGGCTGCTGGCGAGGCTGGGTGGGCCCCGGAGCTGCCGGCTCGGCTCGGCTCGGCTCAGCCCAGCTCAGCCCTGCGCTGCATCGAGGGGTTTGGGTGCCCAGCTGAAAGCGATGGCCGAGGAGATGGCAGCTCAGGGGACAGCTCCTCCTTTGTCGCTTTCCAGAGCCAGGCGGTCCGGAGCATTTTGCCCCGTCCCCTCCAAACGCGGCCCGACCCAAAACTCTGACAGACTTCATTGCCCGCGGTTCCATAGCTAATTTCTGATAACGCTCACTCCTCGATTGTGCTCTACAAGGTTAAACAATAGCCGGAGGAGGATTGTTCCAGCGAGAAAAGCGAGATCCCGAGAAAAGCGGGCTCGGGAAGCTGCTTCAACCTGAGCACCGCCGCCGCACCTCCCTCCCCAGCCGGCGTTTTCCCTCTGCTGTGCTAACCAGCTAAGGGACCGGCAATTCTCACTGAACTCCTGAACGATCCCCCCGCGGTTCGGAGGTGGGCGAGACTGACTGAAACAGAGATAAATCCCCAGCCCTTCCCCTCCTGCTCACGGCGCTCACGGCACGCAGGGGGATCTGTCTCCTTTCACTCAGGGAGCTGATCGGAGTTTGATTATTTAAGCGCAGAAACAAAGCTGCGAAGCATCTCCAGGAGCGCAGAGGGCACCGGGGCAGGAACTCATCACGGCGGGCCCAATCTCTCATTCCTCGCTGCCGAGAGCTGCGAGCACCACGGCAGCCGGCGCGGCGGGACCAGCCTTCCCCTTCAGTGCGGGCTGACGTGGGCACTGGAACGCTTTCCAGCTGCCTAGAGGACATTTTGTTTATCCCCTGAGGGTGAAAGAGTTTTGTTGGGTATTTTTGAGAAGCAGAGACGCGCTGACGGGAGCGGGGCGCTGCGGTGCCCCCGAGGCAGCGGGGATGATGGCGGGGGATCCCTGCGGTGGCTGC